GTAGAATGGTGGAACTTAAATAATGTTTTCTAGAGTATTCTAGCTATAAGTAGAAGTATGTGAAGGCTTCCCAAAGCCCTATAAATAGAGGTCCTCACCTCTACTTTGTACCTAGACTATGCACCCACTACCTATAATAGAACTGGTTGTTCTTATCTAAGATCTTGGAGTAGATCTTGTGCCCTGGGAGTTCTGGATCGAACTCTTGCTGCCCTATCGGCCTACATTCGCCTCTAGAGCGATATCTAACACAGCACGTTGAAGCTGTTCCTTCAACACTTGTGCTGTACACATTATAGCAGCAAGGTGGAGTTGCTCCTCCACAACCTTTGTGCTGCTTCATTAAGACTTGCTTCGCTGATTCTCTTGAGCACTACAAAGTTCGTCTTGTGGCTCGTGGCTTTCAGCAGGGGCATGGTCTTAATTACGATAAGACTTTTGCTCTAGTGACCCATATGACCACTACTCGCACACTTCTTGCTGTGGCTTATGTTCATCATTGGTCTGTATCTCAGCTTGATGTTAAGAATACCTTTCTTAATAGTGAGTTGTGCGAGGAGGTTTACATGCAGTCACAACCTGAGTATTCTGTCCCTGATGGCATGGTCTGTTGCCTTCATCGCTCTCTATATGGCCCTAAGCAAGCCCCTCATGCCCGGTTTGACCGTTTCGCCTCTGTGGTGATTGTTGTTGGGTTTTTTGGCGAGTGCTCATGATCTTGCAATGTTTGCCCACCTTTCTGCTCATGGCCTGACTCTTCTTTTATATGTTGATGACATGATCAACACTGGTGACTACCCTGTTTACATTGCCTTTGTGAAGGCACATCTTAGTGAGCAGTTTCTTATGTCTGGTCTTGGCCCTCTTCATTGTTTTCTTGGGATTGAGGTTTCTTCTACCTCTGATAGCTTCTTTGTTTCCCAAGATAAGTATATCTAGGATCTTCTTGCCCGTGTTGCTCTTACTGATATGCGCAATGTTAAGACTACCATGGAGCTCAATGTTCACCTATGTGCTTTTGATTGTGACCCCTTGTTTGGTCCGGCGTGTTATCGTCTTGTTGAGAGTCTTGTCTATCTAGTTGTCACTCGTCCAGATATCTCCTATCATGTCCATATTTTGAGTCAGTTTGTTTTTGCTTCCACTTCAGTTCATTATAGTCACCTTCTTCGTGTTCTATGATATCTTCATGGCACGACTTCTCCCCGTCCTTTCTTTCCCCGCTCCAGTTCATTACAGCTTCAGGCCTATTCTACGTGGGCTAGTGGTCCCTTTTGTTCACTTTCTACTTACTGTGTTTGGTGGTTCTCTCATTGCCTGGAAAACGAAGAAACATACTACAGTTTCCTATTCGAGTACAGAGGCTGAGTTGCAAGCTATGACTGTTTTGACGGCATAGGTGACTTGGTTACGATGGTTACTTAAGGAGTTTGGTGTTTCTGTTACTACACCTACTCCCCTCTTGTTAAAGGGTACATGTGCTATAAGTATTGTGTGTAACCCTATGAAGCATAAGCTCATCAAACATATTGGTGTTTATGCTCCTTTTGTGAGCGTTGGTGTGCATGATCAAATCATTGCTCTTATTAGCTACAATGCATGGACACGGCAAAAGTTGCCGAATCCCCATGCTGACACGGCGGGACACGGGGACACGCGGGGAAACGCGTATCCCGCCGTATTTCCCGAATTAAGAATTAAAAGAAAGAAAGAAAAGGGAGGACACGGCTGGGACACGGAAGGGATACGAGGCAACGCTGGATCTGGAGCACCCTCCCGCCGCCGCGCTGCTGCTGCTGCGCCCTCGCCGCCGTGCTGCTGCTGTGCCCTCGCTGCTGCGCCCGCGACGGCGCCGCCGCCGCTGCATCCCCCACTGCAGCGCTGGCCGCTGCTGCTGCGGCAGCAAGAGGAGCACGCTAGGAGGAGAGCGGTGGCGAGAGCTGCTGGCCTGCTGCGGGGTAGATGAGAGATCCATCGCTGGGAGGAGAGTGGCGGCTTGATCAAAGCGTTAGGGCAGAGAGAGATAGGGTTTGAGTTTTTGACGGTGCAAATTAATCTGTAGCATCCGCTTGCTCTTGAAATGGCCCAACTACTAATGGATCATCTTCTTTGTGGCCCAGTTACTGCTGAATGGGGCAATCTCTTTCTCGTTATTTTTTTGTCTTTAACTCTATATTACATATTTTTATTTATTTTTATATATACTTGCCGTGTCCCCGATGGGCTGTTTATGGAAAATGTCGTATCCCGTGTCCCCGTATGCGTGTCGCCGTGTCCGTGTCCCCATATCCGTGCTTTTTAGCTTATTAGAGTTACAGTTGGCAGATTTCTTTATGAAGGCCCAAACTAGAGCATAGCACAACTTCTATCTCTCCAAACTTAGTGTTGTTGATCCACCCTGAGTTTGAGGGGGGTGTTAGAGTTGTATATATTTGTCATGTAATATCCCCATTGTATAAGGGGTTTCCTGCATATTTACCACACCCGTACATGTATATATATTAGCCCATGGCCACCTGGAAATACAGATTGCATATTTCCTAACAGCTCTGATTATTAGTAGGATGATCTCGGAACACTAGTCTGCTTCCATTAGAGGTAGATACATCTTAAAGAGTGTAGTGACTGCACATGAAATTGTTCATGTGTGTCCAATCTTCTAGTGATAAAGGGCTAGTGTTTATAAGGGTCTGTTTGGATAGTGTCCACACTGAATCGTGCCTGGCTTGGAGCCTCCCTGAACTGTGCCTGGACAGTGTTTGGTTGCTGTCCTGCAAAAGTTGTTGCTAGCCTGGCCTGGTTACCTGACATTTTGCTTAGCATGGAATTTGACCCAGGCAGTCCGCTTAGCCTGGACCAGGCACTCAAAAAAGGATGCCTGGGTAGCTGCCTGGGCAATGTTTCCCTGCCTCGTTGAGCTTATGGGCGTTCAATCTCCATCAATCATGCTAGTAAATTATTTAAATATTTCACCAGGCCAGGCCACCAACAAAACACATGATGTCCAGGCAGCCACACCATGCATAAAAGCAAGGGAGTACCAGGCGGATGACAGACAGCCTCTTTTACCAGGCATGAAGCCCAGGCCAACAACCAAACATGCCCTAAAATTGACTATGAGAAGGCCTATCACAAGGTTAACTATTCAAGGTTTTGGTAGTAAGTGGATTAACTGGATTGACATGATTGCTCAAAATGGTACCATAGGAGGCAAGATTAATGGGGAGAGTGTTCTTTACTACTAGTAGAGGGCTTAGGCAAGGGCACCCTCTTTCTCCCTTGTTTAATCTCGTTCTGGTTATTTTTGACGAAATGCTAGTTAAAGGTGGAAAGTAGGGCTCATTAGAGGTCTTTGTCCAAACTTTATTCCTGGGGGTGCTTGTTTAGAATATGCTGATGATACTTTCCTATGAAATATTTAGGATTACCTTTACACTTTGAGCAGTTGAGGAGAGAGGATCTTCAACTTTTAGTGGATTTTATGTTAGCTAGAATAGCTGATGGAAAGGCAAGTTACGTTCTATGTTGGGCAAAGTGACTTCAATTAGGTCTTGTTTATTCAGTATTCCAAATTACATGCTTTCCTTCTTAAAATTCCCTAAGTGGGCTATAGCTTTAGTGAATTCTCAAATGGCCAAATGCATGTGGAGTAATAGTGAAGGAAATTAAAAAAATCATCTTGCAAGCTGGCCATCTCTCTCCATAAGGAGTACGGGGGTTATGGGAGTGCCAAATATCCAAGGCCTTAACATGATCATGAGGAAGGAATATGGGGGTACGGGAGTGCCAAATATCCAAAAGGTATATTGCAAGGGAAGGAACATTGTGGAGAAAAGTTATAGATGCTAAGTATAATACTAGAAATCCTAATGTGCTCTGCTGCCATGACTCTCACCCCTCTCAGTTCTGTTAAATCTGGATACAAGTGGCATGTAGGTAATGGCAGATCAGTTCGTTTTGGGGAAGACATTTGGTTTGGCAACTCTCCTCTGGCCACACAATTTTGGGATATCTATTGTGTGGTCAATGAGACAAATAAGACTGTTTGAGCTCTGGGATGGGATTCAGTTGAAGTGCACCTTTAGGAGGACCTTCACTGAAGATCTCATGGTCATGTGGATAGACTTAGAATCTGTTGTATTTGTAGAGCAGGAGGAAAGCTTAGTTTGGTAGTATGAGTCTAAAGGGGTATGTTCCTATAAATCCCTATATGCAATTGTGAACTTGAGAGGGGTCCAACCTGTCCTGTTACCGGCTGTCTAGCAACTTAAAGTCCCCCCTACGATTCAGGGGTTCTTGTGGCTCTTATCACCTGTGATAGCCTGAGGAGGAGCAGCATGACAAAACCTCTGGAATGTAGACATTGTGGTGAAATTGAGTCAGTGTACCATCTGAACATTGAATGTTTGAATGTATTGTTGCTAAATCCATTTAGAATGATGCTGAGCTTATATTTGGTGTTAGCATTGTAGATTTTAGATCTTTAGCTGTTCACTGGCTTTAAATAAAATAAGAAAACTAAATTATGTTTCTTATGCTGTCCTGTGGGGACTTTGGAACTGCAGAAATGGCTTAGTTTTTTACCAAATGCACCTGGATCTCTGTGAAAAAACAGGTGTGGCATCTGACAGTAGGGTTCCTGGGAGACTGTCTTTAACAAATGCACCTGGATCCCTATGAAACAGGTGTGGCATCTGATAGTGGGGTTTCTGGGGGACTGGGCAAAATCCCTCAAAGAACCATTTGGGGAAAAGGCCGTCTTTTTTCAGGGAATTGATGCTCAGGAAACTGAGCGTCAATCCTGGGCTGAAGCTGTTGTTAGTGTTGAGCATGGAGGGCGTGCTTCTCTGAGCCCCTGTAAGTGGAGTGCCAACATGAACCGGGGGCGAGGCTCCTTTTGATCGATTTTTTTTATTAGATTGCCAACGTGAACCCCTGTAAGTGGAGCGCCAGCCATAAAGCACCGATAATGAGGGGAGAGGGAATGGAGAACAGCATACCCCCACGCCGCTTGCGTAGTTCCCGCTGGACGTGCAGATGGCCGCCCGGAAAAGCGTCGGCCATACGGTGCACCCGGCTTTCTCGATCTGCTCCCTCAGGAACACCACCTTCGGATCTATCATCAATTGACAACGCGAGTCAGGAGATGGGAGGAAGAAAAGAAAGGGCGATGGGTGAGTAGAGGCGTAAGCAAGCGCGTACCTTTGAGAGCCAATTGAACGCCGGCGACGCATTTCTGCCACGGCATGGCATTGCGGGTCACGTGCGGCCGAGAAGCGGGAGGCGCCTCCGCTATTGGGGTCTTCGGCGGGACGCTGCCGCCGTCGCCTGCGGCGGCCGCCATTGTTCTGTACCTCTGGCGGCAGCTGCGTCGTGGGTTCCAGAGGCCGAAAAGTCGAAGCGAGATTGGTCTTCAGGGTCGCTAGGGTAAAGTTGGGATCTCTGGGCCGGAAGGTGATTGGGCTCAGTTATCAGAAGACCACCACGGGCTGTGTTGGCCCTCCATCATTGAAAAAGCAAATGAAATCGGATGCCTAAAAAAAAAAGTGAAATCGGATTGCCTAAAAAAAGAAAATGAAATCGAAAAAAAAAACAGGACTCTAAAAGCACAGAATCGAAAAAAGCCTAGTGAAAAATGAAGAAGACACCAAAGACCCAAAAAGAAAAGGCGAAAGAGGGTTGACTGAAGTACGGTTTTTGTGCGGTTTTTTTTGTGAAATCTTTTCATCTATTTATCTTCAATTATGGCAGTACAACGAACATCAGAAATAATAAAATACCCACTCCATCCGTCCGAAAAAGAAGGTCGATGTGGCAATTTTTTGAAAACCCCCCTCCGCAAATTGCCGACACAACCAGCACTCCCCGCTCTTCTCCCCTGCGTCGGAGCTCCCCTGCTCGACTCACACGTGCAGCTTCCCCGGGCTTCCGTCGGAGCTCCCCCGCCCCACGCCTCCATCGCATTGGTTCACCCTCCTTTGCCGCGTTGTTTCCCTGGGTGAGGAGAAGGCTCGTTTTTTTTTCGATCTGCTCTCCAACGGATGCATCCTTCCACCATGGTGGCGAGCGGGAGCTGGCCCTGCCCATCGTCAATCTCATATACATCGCTGCTAACCTCATCCATCTTGCCATCAACCTCGTCCATGAAGCCGGTCCACGCAGATCGACCGATGGGAGGCAGGAGGCTCATGGAGTTGTACAAGCCGGATCCCAGCCAGCGTCTCACGTACCACAACGGCAGCATGCTCAGCGATGACATCCCGTGTGCATTACCACATCAAGACTGAATTTCACTCCATCTGTCCCCAAACATATGTCCCCAAACTGTCAAAACTGGATTTTGCTCACTGAAAAATTGATAGTGAAGTACTGTTAAAACTGTACTACTCATTGAAAACAGTGGAGTGTACACTGTCTAAATTTCATTCCAGTCAAATTTTATGAAGTTGGGAGCTTGATAGATATACTCTGATGCTTTATGATGTACTCAAATTTTTGTGTCCTGATGCTTTATAAAAGCAGAGGGGAAGCTCAATTTTTCGTATCCTGATGCTTACAGTTTTGTAACCTGTAGATGTCATGCTCAATTTTTTGGTAAAGCTACTGGAGTTGCCGGCAAATTATACTTTCATTCTTATTCTTACTGTCAAAATTCAGAGGAAATTCAAGCGTGTTTGTACTGCTTGTGGCTATAGCTAAGCAGAGGTCTTCGAGCAAAGCAGCAAAGATCTCGGGAACAGTCGAGTACGAGCAGACCGTTTTATAACTGTTGCGCGGCGTCGTGCGTGCACGGACAGCACGGTGCGGTGCCATGCACGGTTGCCGCAGGTGGTTCCAGATCGACAGGAATAGGAATCCAAGCCTTCCCATCGCTCAAGAATCCAAGGGAGGCCGTGCGGCGTGTAAAGATAATGGCCGCTCACACCTCACTAGTTCCTGTTTGGTCGACTGACTCGACGTGACATGCTTTGACCACTCCACAGGTCGAGCTCCTTCCAAGAATCACTTGCAGTTGATGTGCACTATTAGTTTCGTGTATATGTATGCTTAGCAAAATGCTTTGCCTCAACGATTCGATTAATTAAGAAAAAAAGAATTGTCCAGTTAATTTACGAAAAATCGAACGAAAACCAGTACAAGCGGAGCATGGACTAACTCTTCACACGGCAAGAAACCTCACAACTTTACAGGCGGCCCCAACCAGACTCTTCGAATACACAACACCTACAAACCCCGACATTGCTACTACGTCAAAAGACCCCCGACAAAAACACCTCAATACAAGACATCATGCACCTCCCAACCCTTAAAGACAACACAATCAAACCGGACCGGCCGAGAGATCGAAGGTCATCCATCAAGCAGCGAGATACGTCTTGCTCATGGCGCCACTCTCTCCTTTGGCCACCCAAAAGACATGCTTTGACCACTTTGCATTCACATTTTTTCATGGTTCTTTTTTCCCTTCCTCCCGGGTCGCACGCGCGTGCGGCTCCGGAGGACCTCCAAACCCTAGAAAAAAGAGGGCCCCAATCTCCTTCCCCTGGTCGCTGTGGCCGCCGGCGCCGGCGTTGGCGGCTGAGCCCGGCCGTCGAAGGCGGCGGGTGCTGGCGGTGCGCCCCGACGGCCCCCCTTCGCGCAGAGGCGGGACGTCACAGGGGTTGCGGTGATGTGGCCGGAGGCGCGAGATCTCGGTGGAGCTCGGCGGCGCATGGCGGGAGCGCGCAAGAGCGGCGGTGCCCGGCGGGGTAGGCATCAGAGAGGAGGAGCAGGGTGGTCTGTCAGCGCGAACTAGTGGCGGCGGCGTGTGCTCACGGCAATGAAGGCGGCAGCGCTGAGGAGGCCCAGCCAGGAAGGAGATCCTGGTGGGCAACTGGCCGTCTTGATACATCTCCGTCGTATCTATAATTTTTGATTGTTTGATGCCAATATTATACAACTTTCACATTTTTGGTAACTTTTTATATGATTTATTGGACTAACCTATTGATCCAGTGCCCAGTGCAAGTTCCTGTTTTCTGCATGTTTTTTGTATAACAGAGTATTCATATCAAACGATGTCCAAATGCAATAAAATTTTACGGAGAACTATTTTGGAATATATGTGATTTTTGGGAGTTGGAATCACCGCAAACGGAGGCCCACACAACCCACACGACACCAGGGTGCGCCAAAGGCCCCTGGCGCGTGGTGGTGGGTTGTGCCTTCCTCGAATGTCGGTTGGAGCTCTACTTCGGGCGCAAGGAAGCTTATATCCGGAAAAAAAATCGTGTTAAAATCTCAGCGCAATCGGAGTTACGGATCTCCCGGAATATAAGAAATAGTTTTCGGCCAGATTAGGGAAACGCGAAACAGAAGAGAACAGAGAGGGAGAACCAATCTCGGAGGGGCTCCCGCCCCTCCTCCGCCATAGGAGACCATGGACCAGAGGGGGAATTCTCCTCCCCATCTAGGGGGAGTCCAATGAAGAAGAAGAAGAAGAAGTAAGGGGGCTCTCTCCCCCTCGCTTCCGGTGGCGCCGGAGTGCCGCCGGGGCAACGATCGGGACGACGATCTACATCAACAATCTAGCTACCGTCAACACCAACTCTCTCCCCCTCTATGCAGCGGTGTAACACCTCTTCTCCCCACTGTAATCTCTACTTAAACATGGTGCTCAACTCCATATATTATTTCCCAATAATCTATGGTTATCCTGTGATGTTTCAATAGATCTATTTTGTCCTTTGGGTTAATCGTGATCTTTCTTGGTATGATTGTATATTTTATTTATGGTGATGTCCTACGGTGCCCTCCGTTCTCGCGCAAACGTGGGGGGCCCCGCTGTAGGGTGTTGCAATATGTTCATGGTTCGCTTATGGTGGGTTGCGAGAGTGACATAAGCTTAAACCCGAGTAGGTGGGCTATGACGTATGGGATAAAGAGGACTTGATACTTAATGCTATGGTTGGGTTTCACGACCTTGATGATCTTTAGTAGTTGCAGATGCTTGCTAGAGTTCCAATCATAAGTGCATATGATCCAAGTAGAGAAAGTATGTTAGCTCATGCCTCTCCCTCATATAGAATTGCAATAATGATTACTGGTACTTGTTATCGATTGCCTAGGGACAAATAACTTTCTTGTTGACACAAACTTTTTTTCTAAACACCTAAATTTTATTATCTTGCAAAGTAATTCTAGTTTTATTCTTGCAAAGTAGTTCTAGCATCACACCTACAAAATAGTTTCATACCTTTTTCCAGTAAAGCAAACGTCAAGTGTGCGTAGAGTTGTATCGGTGGTCGATAGAACTTGAGAGAATATTTGTTCTGCCTTTAGCTCCTCGTTGGGTTTAACACTCTTATTTATCGAAAAAGGCTACAAAAGATCCCCTATACTTGTGGGTTATCAAGACCTTTTTCTGGCACCGTTGCCGGGGAGTTATAGTGTGGGGTGAATATTCTCGTGTGTGCTTGTTTGCTTTATCACCAAGTAGTTTTTATTTCTTATCCTAAGTTGTTCTCTATCTTTAGTTATGGATATGGAACACGAAACACCAAAAACATTAGTTGTACCTGCTACTCATGGAGATGGGGAACCTCCTAAAACCCTCGATGATCATTATGTGAAAGATATTATGCACTACTTTGATAATCCTAAGAAAACCCCATTCAACTACATAATGGGAGTAATGTTGGATCAATGTGAATACTTTAGGGTTATCGCTTGACTCACAAAGGGAAATTGTTATGGGATCAAATTCATATATTGGAGTGGTATGCTTGGAACCTATGCTCTAGATATGATTATACTTGTTGCTCTAGGATGAATGCTCCACATCTTCCCTTTTCATGCAAATTTAATGATAATGAAACCTTAGCTTCTTATGCTAATGGTATATATGATTACTATGATGTGGAACGAATAGAAGAATTTGTTGCTTTTAAGGGTGCATATGAAATTGAATCTTTGTTTGAAAAGTTTGAAGATTTTGATGATGTAGCGACCAGACCTCAAACAGTCTGATCTCTGTGCTTTAGTGTCATCCCTGGATCAGTAATGCTGACACGCACAGTACTTGAAGGATTTATAACAGAGTAGCAATCACACACTTATTACATCGAGTGTCTCAAAAGAGAACTTATTGCAAATAATATGGCTTAAGGCCATCTAATAACGATAACAGCGGAATGCTTGGAAGATAAGTGAGTCCATCAACTCTAACGGCATCACTGAGTATAGAACCATGACCTAAGGCTCCTTATTCGTTGTCTGAAAAGTCTGCAACATGAACGTTGCAGCCCGAAAACGGGTCACCACATGGGATATGCTGGCAATGTAACACATAGAGAGTAGTGAACA